TAAAGGGTAATTTTCGAGTAGAGGAGTGTATACAAACACATTAATGATGTAATCATGTTATAAGGTTGTATTTAATAGCACCATTTATAAAGAGGAAATATATTTGTGGAGAAGTGGCAATTTTAATTCTTTTGCTTCCTTCACAAGTAAATATTTACCTCCTCGCCTGTTAACATTTTACTCCCTTGGACATCTCCTCAGTTTAATGTTTTCTTGCTATTTGCCATTACTATAACTTATTAGGTCTCTTGAACATCTTTTGACTAGATCTACCCACTTAGGAAATGACAGAAGGAGAAAAATACTATCTTTCAAGGGATGAAATATGAAGATAAATCATACCCTATGGTGTGGCTAGCTTCATATTCTTCATCTTCTTCATAAATTATTCTCTTCCACAATTTAACACTACACATTTTAGTAAAAGCTTATGATCTAGGCTGCCTACTTATACTGTAAACCAAATTTAATAGTAACTTCCTGGCTTTAATTAAACTCCTCTCCTTATAAATCTCAGCAAGGTGATCAGATTTCTGGAGAAAGCAAGTACACAACAGTGTTAACATAAAGGTATTAAACAGATTAAGCAGACATAATCTCTAATATTCTGCAGGAGGGAAAGTCAGCACTCTGCACAGGTACCCATTCTACATTCAAGAGCGTATGCCCAGAGCATCCAGCCTTCAGTGAGTTTCTTTGCTAGAAGAGTTGAACATTTCTTGGACAGTTCAGTTTTGAACAACTAGACCACAGACTTAAGATGGTTTCTTCTGGCTCAACAATTTTTGGCTTCTACAAGTTGATACTATTTCACTTTCCTAGTAAATGGAATCACACCATCTTTTTGAAAGATTATCTGTACTTTCCCCTTCTTTCCTTATCTACCTTCTTTGTGGGTGATAGTGTTACAAAGACTATATTCTGTGGATTCAGTCACTAATTAGAGAGAACCTGAAGTTCCTCATAGGACTGCTTTGAAAAAGGGAGGCTTCCTTAGGAATAGGGTCTTTTAAAAGTGCAGACCAGTTCATCTTTTCAAGAAGCATGCTCAAACAAAAATATTACTGTTCAGATCTAGAAAAGAGTCCCAATTTCTCATCTGTCCTCAAAATATAATAGAAATCCCCATGAAGGGGGAAAGAAAGAAAGAAGGAAAGAAAGAAAGAAAGAAAGAAAGAAAGAAAGAGCCTGAAAAGAAAATCAACCCATTCCCTATGCTTCTATATTTCTTCTCTCATATTTGGAACTTTCAAACTGGGTACTCTGTGGGTATATGTGTTTAATTCCCATTTTTCCTGCAGTTCTTCTATCACTATAATGTTCTTGAGTCTTTGTATTTAGTATCATTATTTGGAAAAGAATTAAGCCAGAGAAAGTTTAATTATCTACATTTTTACTTTTTGTGAAGCAAATAATGTAGGCTCAGTAGACACTAGGTAGGCTCAAACACTGTTCAAAATGCTGCTCAGACTGTCACTGCTTGTTATTTTTATAAACCAGACCCTAATTCTGATGGACCCCAAAGAACGGGCTGCAGTGACTAAGGAAGCAGCACCAGGTAACTGGCTTCTGCTGGATGTTATCTCATTTGGAACACATTTCAAATTTTAGAACAGATTTTTAAATTGGATGTTGAAACCTGCAGACTGTCAGCAGAAGAGGCTGATTCGCCCTATAGTACTTATCTTATTCCAAGTTCCAGGCAGTTTTTTAAGAGAGTAGGTTAACTAAAATGTGTTGTGGATATATCAAAGAGAAATTACAACACATACACACAACAACAACAACCAGAATAGGGGCAACACAAGCACCTAAACACCTTGTGGGCTATTTATATATGATTATTATTTTCTGCAAATATGTATTTAGTGGTGGGAATTCTTCAAGTGATACTTTCTGAGTCATAACTATAAGGTTATTATAATTATGAGGTTAATTGGAATTTAGAAAGTAGATCCTTGACAAGGTCAGAAATAGGCAAATCTTACACTGAAGGTAGTGAAATCTTTATTATCATAGAGCAGATACTGAAAATTTATATACCCAGCAAAGTATAAAAATAGACACAAGTCTCTTAAGTAAGGGAACTATAGGAATGATAGTAATCATGGCTTTGACCTGGCATGAATATCAAGATGGTGCTTGCAGAATGCTAACTTTTCTATGGAGAAAAGGTTACTCTTATGATCTTATGAGTAAATGAGCTACAGGGAGAAATACATGGAGTGACCCACTAGAGGTCCCTTCCAACTTAAAAAAAGTTTCACTAGTTCAAAAGATGCAGCGTTAGCAAGTTGGCATTCATGACTGCAAAACAAGTAGGGCCAGAAAGGGGACCAAACAGTAATTCCTTGGGAAGATACATATTTGTCACAGTTTATCTCTCTTCCTCTCTCTTTTTAATCCCCTTTGTGAGGCAGTTACTCAATTAGACTAATTAGACATTTAGAACTTGTTCCAACTTACTGATACAGTAAGGAAGCATCATTTCATGCCTTGTGATAGTAGCTGCACTTTCTAGAAATTTTAGCTGTTTTCCAGTATCTCAAGCAGTATTTTGCAAGATAATTTTTTTTTTTCTTAAAAGGGAAGAATGCCTCACAGTAAGTTTCTCTTTGCAATGCTGATGGAAGTGGTGGGAGGAGGTAAAGGTACACATTTTTGGTAGAAAATGATTTTGTTTCCATATATTATCTTTGCAGAGTTAGCACTGAGAAATGTAATTGCAATAAATTGGTGTAAAAGCCAGCTAGTAAAGGGATTAAAAGTCCCTCTAGAGACACCAGCCTGTCTCCTCTAATGGCACCAAAAGATAATTGTGGACAAATAAGATAGAACTAAATCATTGCCATTTTCCTTTAAAAATGTGCTGCTACCTCATATATATATATATATATATATATATATATATATATATATATATATGTTTATTTATATATTTTTTTTTTTTTTTTTCTGAAGAAACTGGTTACTTCCTCTGCTTCAAATGTAGTGGCATGAACCATCGAACTAGGTAGGAAGAGAACTGCCTTTTATTTTGCCCCAATATCTTTTTAATTAGAACACAGCAAAAAGCAAAAGGGGATGATGTACAATCCTAGTGATCGTATTTTGCAGTCAATTGTTGGATTTCTTTTAAGTTTTTGAGCTGTGCATTGAAAATTTGGCCTCTGGCATATACTTTGCCCTCCTCTTTATGACATCATGAAGACATCTGCTTGATCATATCCCCTTTCTTCACATAGCTGGTTTTCCGGTTCTTTAAAATAGCAAACACAGAGCCCTGCAAGTGCTAGTACACAAAAGGCGATGCTCAAGCTAAACTGAAAGAGATTTTTTTTTTCTTTTCTTTTCTAAAGTAGAATCCTGAGGGTTTTCCTTTTCAGGTAAATCTGTCGGCAAGAAAAGAAAGGAAATAAGCAGCCCTTGGCCACCATTCACACAAACGTATTCGTTACTCATTCTTGGAAGAGTTGTGCATTAACTACGTGTATCTCTGGGTTCCTTCCCCAACACCAGGAGGAGTTTGCACTCCCTGGATAATTAACCAGTTAGAAAGCCCATATTTTGTGACTGCACCCCACTTCTCCCCCAGCAGCTACATGTGTACACCACAATCACTCCAGCAACATTGTTGCGGGGGTGGGGGGGGAATCACACAAACACACGTAATAAACGTTTTCTTTCCCACATTTTGTGTTTCTGTAAGTGAAAATGAAGATGGCCTGGAAACATGGGATGATGAACCTCTACACTGTAACTATCTTAATTACGATTTCTTTAAAAAAAAAAAAAAGTGAAAGAGGAGAAAATGTAAGGCTATTCCTGATGATTAAACTTCTTGGTTCTCGTTCTCAGTAGTAGTTAACTCAGGTGACTAGCTCTTGTACTCACAGAGACCTGCATTTAACTCCCCATAAAATATGGATTTTATTGCAGCAGCGACAACAGTTCTCAGTACCATGCTGACCTCTTCAGCATCTCCTATCTCGAGATGTATGGTAACTCTTGGCAGGAGAATATCTAACTACAGAAGTAATCCCAGCTCTGCAACTGCTGCAGTACACAACATTGCAACACCCCCTTTCAGTAAATTCCGGATGAACGTACTGGGGGCTCCACTTTTCTTGCATCTGACACCTAAAAACCATGAGCTTCTTGCCAACCAGTCTGAGAAAGGCGTTATCCACCCCCCAGATTTGTGCCTGGCTAGCTATGGAAGAGAACAGGCGGGCTGCGTCTTGCACATGACTTTTCCCTGGACAGTGTGCTCCATTTTCGGAGTCCAATGTTGGACTTTCCTTGCAACCTAAGCATTTGTGTCCTACATGAACCGGCAGACGTTGCCCCGAACACGCAAGCTAACAGTTCGCTTTAGGCTCCTTCTCTCGACCAAACCATCGTTTTAGTTTAAGTTTTCCTTATTGGGAGCATTCCAGAGTTTTCAGACTACCTGAATTTCTGCGTTACTCCCAAAGCCAAGAGCTATAACTCAGCCCAAGCAGGCACCACATAGACCCTTGTAATGTGAGCAGGTGAAAATAAATCAAGCCCCGAACAGTTCCACCGGTCCTACACGCACCAGCGCCCTTGGTAATTGACCAGCCAACTTTGCAAATGCTGGAGATCCCCTGGCAGCCTCCGCCGGCGGAGAGAAACGTAGCTGGTTCACCCGCGGACCCGCTCCATGTGCCTCGGTCAAACCCCACGGCAGATCGGTCTTACCAGCAGGCGGAGGAGCGGCGCCCAGGCTCCCCGGGAAGCGGCGCCGGTCCTGGGCAGGGGCAGCAGCGCCGCCAGCGCAGCCGGACCCGAGCTCCCGCCCCAACCCCGGCTCGCAGGCTGAGCATCCCTCCCAACTCCGGCGCGCGGCACCCACCCGGCGGAGAGGGATCTCTCTCTCTGATTGGCTTCCATCAACGCTACAGAATTAAAAAAAAAAAAAAAAAATGGAAAATGCATGCACATCCACCAGCACCGTCTACGGAGACCGAACGCACCTCTGCTCGCCTTCCTGTGCCCGGGAGACCCTGCGACCCGCCCCGGCTGCTCTTGCCTCTGCCGCCGCCGCCGCCGCCGCGGTCGCGGGCACTGCGTTCTTACTGTCGCGGCTGAAACTGCAGCTCCCGGGATGGGAAGGTTACGGGCTCCGGAGAGCTGGCTCTTGTGGGCACACACTGATTTGCAAGTGAATGAAGTGGGAGGGAGCAAAGAGAGGAGGACTTTGTTAAAGAGGCCCAGAGCCTGCCCCCGCCCGCCCCCTCCCCTTGACAGAATGACTCCCAGTGTTTGAAGTCCTGAGCAATTCGCTCTCAGTAACACTCCCTCAGCCCCAGGCTTTTCCTTCGTTTTCTTTCTTTCTTATTTATTTTTTCGGGGGGCGGATGGGTGGGTTATGACATATTGAAAACTTGTGCGACTTTATCTGATCCCTTTTGTATGTTGTCAAAATGTACCTTGTACTATTATCAGCAAAGGTCTGATGTTCTTTTTTATTCGACCAAGCAATTACGATTCCCAGGGACACGATACCGAGTCTTGCTGTGCGTTGGCCAGCTTCGTGAGATAGCACGCGTAACATGCACACACACAGAACAACCCCGGTCTCCTGAGATAGCAATACCGACGGCTGTTGTTTGCAACATAAACAGATGCAAGCAGACACAGATTCACAATGCCTTTCCATCTCTGCTTTCAGAAAGACAGATTTTAATATAGCCCCACTATCTCTGGTACTCTTGCGGAGTGAGTAACCCCAGGATATTGTAGCATGAAGCCATACTTCCCTAGGCTTGCAGAAACGTTCAGCTCAAAATCCAAACCCTTCAGGCTCGCCAATGACTTAATGGCTGATGCCATATTTCTAGATGAACTGATGCAAGGATCCACAAGACTTGCAGAAGAGGGGTATATGATGACATTTAAGATTTTTTTTTAAATTTTTATTTGTAGAATCTTTCTGGAAACTTACAGAAGTAGGATAATCTCCAGATAAAACTCTTTGGTACACATGGCTGTGCGAATGGCTGTATTTACAGTTACAAAGAAGTGATTTCTAATGTTAAGGTACTAAGCTGCAAAAGCCTTAAACATGTCAAAGCACTGTTAAATGAGAGTGACAATTTTCTACATAGGAGACGTAGACATGATGGAGTCAGGTGATGTTGGATTAGGAAAATTAAATCTAATTACCACAGTGATTGCAGCCGGGGTCAGTAGCATCCCATGCCAGCTGTGTTTGTGTATGCTGCAAGTTCTCAGGGAGATTTCCATTGCACAGTGCTCTAAGAAATTCCAGGCCACTTGGCCTCTGAGCAGTTAAATTGGTTGGAGGTTGGTCTTATTCCCAAGAGAGCTCTTACTAGAAAACCTTTTGTGTCTCCAATAGAAGTCCTGGCATTTAAATAAAGCCAAAATCAAAGTATTTCCTCTAGGCAGCTAGTGCTTCAAAGAAGTGTGTGTGGAATGGTTTTAGCACAGATGTTCTGCACATGCACGGTGGAAAGACTTTGAGTTTCATTCTTGAAAAGATCTCCCCCTAATGAAGAATTGACATCAATTTACCAAAAGAGGCTGAACATTTTCTCTTCATGTAGTTATTTAAACTAGAAGGAAGCTGTTTTGCATTCATAGTCCACACCTCTGATTATGAATTTCTTATACATTTAACTTGAAAAACTAGCTTTTTATGTCCATATAGTCCTTTAATGTTCAAAAACTACTTTAATAGTCTATTTTATCTAATTCTATCAACAAGTGGTGTGACTCCCCCCCCCCCCCACCACCCCCATTAAGACAGAGAAAACTGAAGACACAGCAGAGGTTAAGTAACATGTCCAAGGCAATCAAACCAGGAATCACAGGGTGGAAAACATTATTGGCCAAACTGTGTGCAGATGTGGGTGCAGGCAAATGTACTGAACCACAAGTTATTTGTGTATATATAATTTATCAACTTATTACCATATATGATAAATTAGTAAAGGAGCATATAATATATAAATATGTCAATAAAAGTAAGTTATATGTTAAGATTGCCTGTAGCAGACAGATATACAAATTAACTGATTTTTTTGGTATAAGAAGAATCACAATGAAGTTGATTTTCCATCCATTGAACCAGTTAATATATCACAAAGGAAATCTCTAATTGTTTGCCATATACCATCTTTCAAATCCCATAAAGCTACAAATCAAAGATAGTTAAAATAACTACTTTTTAAGAATGAACAGATAAATTTGCTTCTGAGCAGTTCAAGTGACAGCATTAATTACATAAAGGATAGCATTTTTTGTATTACAAAATTTTATGTAATTTTTTTGAGGCCTCCTAGTAAGATATAATACCCTGAAGTATGGGATTGATGCAAATATGCAGAATTATTTTATCCAGGAAACTTAAGAGAGGGAATTCTGCAGGGCTGTGGGAAAGGCTTAGAAGCAGGTTCTGAGAGGCCATCAGCACTCTCCTGTTTGTGCTTCAGCCTGTCTGGTCTCCCTGCACACTGGCCTCCTCTGTTGTTCAGTCCACAGGGCAGAGAAGCATCATCTGTAGTTCCAGAGCTTAGCTGTGGGAACAAGAGTAAATTTCTTCTTTTGCTCCTTTTCCAGTTTCACAGAAAGCAGCTCTGATTGGTCAGGCAGTCTGGACCTGGGGCTGAGTCTGGGGAAGGAGGCAGCAGTGGGTTACAAGGTCTAGGCTGGGCCCCCCAGGGTCCCCACAAGGGGAGCAATAGGAGGTTTCTCTGTGTTCTGGGAAGGCAATCCACAAAGGTCCCATTGCCCACGTTCTCTTTAGTAGTGCCATATGGTTAAAAGTAGCTTGTCAGTTTTCATGCTATTTCATTATTTTATATGTCTTAATCAAAATTACCTTACCTCTCCTTTTACAGCTTGCAAAGTTTTATTTTTAAAAGAATCTCCTTTATAGACCATTACTAGGAATATTAATTTTGATGAAAGATTTTCTAACTTTCACCGAATCTCTCTTTAGATGATTAAGAGACTATCTTATCTTTATAAAGGGACTCATATAAATAAATATTCACAAGTTCCATGACTTTTTTCAATAATATACATCTATATGCAGTGATTATCTGATAAAAAATTTCATGATAATTAACAATTATTTTTGATTAGAAGAAAAAAAAATTACTTTTGAAGCCATGTGCCTGGTTAAGAATGTTGGCATCACTGGTCTTGACTCGACCAATCCAAATTGCCAATCTAAAACTTACCTTAGTGTGCTGCTACTAGAAAAGGTACATACATCACTTTCTTGAGACTTAACTGAAGTGTGCAGGAGTGAAGGGATTTCAATGAGGGATGAATGCCCATCCCCCACTCTGCCCCCTGTGTGTGTGACAGTGCATGTGCATGTGTGTGACAGTCAAAGTAAACGTATTTAAGGGGGAAGAAAAGCTTTATCCACTCTAAGTATTATTGAACTGAAACAAAGGAGACAGGAAACCTCGACGGAATTCCCTTTTGTGAGAGCCACAGACATCTCAATACATGGTAAAATAAATTCACACAAACTACATGTGCTTATTCAGGTTTCTAATCCTGAGAGAGCCTCCAATCCTGTATTTAAAGTGGTTTGGATCCCAGGATGCATTAAGACATTTCCCTCTTGATCATTATATTTGATTCATCACTATAGGTAGATTACAATAGGCCAGGAGATTTCCAAACGAGATAAATGCATAGCAGCGAAATGCTATTGACCTACGCAGGGTATTTTAGTACTCTGTGCATTTCAGGGAGATAGAACAGACTTCAATTTTGTTGAATCCTTTTTACATTGTATTCACTGCTTTGTAGTAAGATAATTTGCCTGATCAGATTTGTACAACTCAAGTTTAGTAGATTGAGAACCAAGATCATACTATGACAATGAAAGGACTTGTCCTTATTTAGAAGAAACCACCCATTTGGAGAAGATGTACTCTGCCAGTATGTTCCTTTAAGTAAGTGGTATACACCAGAATAAACACAAAATCCCACGTTTTCCTCCACAGGGGAAAAATAATTCTCCTCTTCCACCAACCCACCTCCCAATTATAGAAGCACTTGCTGGGAAGAGTGACAGGCTGAAGTGGGGAAGACAATATAATAGCATAGGTTCAAAAATATTTTGGGATTTTACAGATTGTGAGAACATCAAAATTTCACAGTATATCATGGCTGTCAAAGAGAAGACAATGATGAATATGAGAAGATGGAAAGAAGATTACCCTCTGTATAGGTATAAGAATTCTATTTAGACTAGACCAGTCCTCATCTACAGCCTTTTGTTCCTCTTTGGGTACCACACTTAAATACTCTTTTCTTTTTGGCCCCTTCTCTTGTGTTCCCATTGTGCATCCTAAAATGCCTCCAGTATTTTGGCTAGACTTTACAGTTTACATGTCATTTTTTATCTGTTCATGGGATTATATGTCCATGGGATTATTGGAAACCCAGCATTTTTCTGTTTTGTTTATCATTTTATCTCTGGTACTTGAAGAAGTGCTTGGTGCTTGTACGTATGATTATGTGGAGATTCAGATAAACTAGAATGGATTTAGTAGTCAGAAACTTAAGATTGTTCATAGACTTAAGATTAATCTTATGAGCTGAGGGTGATGAATTTGGTAAAGAGAAGGTTCAAATACTTGAGGGACTGTCTTATGGAAGAAAATTAGACTAGCTCCTAATGTGCCAGGGCTTCAATTAGGACCAACTGGTGAAGCCATCAGAAGATGCTGCATTTTGTTGGTTATAAGACACCCGTGTTTTCATATTTTAACTTCATTGAATTCCTCCCACAACTGACCTGATAAGAAAGCATCACATTATGGTATAATTGGCAGTGTCTTTTCTCTCTCAGTGACACATTAAAATAATGGTGCTACCTGTTACCTTTGGCATCTTGGATCCGATGACATGCAGATTGTAGATTTCAGCCCAATGAATGGAAAGACTGTCAAACTATTAGTGCTATTGAAGATGAGAAGTGCTAACAAATTAATTTCTTCCTTAAAGACATTAGATCACATTCTCCACGTATTCTTGTTCTAGGTGAGCTCAAGCATCTGATTTGGGATTGAATGATCTTGAATATCCTTGTCTGGCCTGACATTCTTAAGTTAGATGCAGCTTTCATATTTTGTGCAGATAAGAAATTAATGACCACACAGGTAAGTGCTTGGTCCATT